TGCAAAATGGCAGCAGGGCGGGAAATGTTGAAAAAACGCATTTGTGCATGCACTAGCCGGCTTGCGCCCCATTCATTTGAAGAGTGCCTTCAAAAGTCCATAGCAGCTACACTAAACTGGTCCAAAAAAATCACTCCTCTCTGCATTGACTCACATTTGGAACATAGCTTTGGGCCAAGAGCGACTTTTGGACAATCCTGTGAAGATGTTTTTGAGAGGAAATAAAACGTCATACAAAAGCATTGGATAATTCTCTTTTCCGAGCACACCCCCACTGGCCCGGAGTGAGATTGCAGCGTGTCAGCCCAACGTGCTCATGGACCTTTATGAGCTGAGACCTGTCCCGACTGTATCCAGCACCAGGAGGCGGCACTTCCGGATCTTGTGAAAAACACGCTCTCATGAATCAATGGGGGCTCTTGTGTTTGAAATGAAAATCGAAAATCAATAATTTAGACGACCATTATTGGTTTACTGCGTTTGATGTGATTGGATCCACAGAAAACAAAATGACAAACCAATATTTCAATCTTGCATTAAATTTATTTAGTTTTATTTAGAAAATCAAATGAACGGATGATACAAGATTCATCTAGACATCTGGAAAAAAATTCATATGCACCGTGTTATTAATAGTTTTGTGGGAACAGGAAGTAAATTAACCAATTTATATAACTAAAGCTGGGGTACGCAATTTTCAAAACACTGATAATCAACTCAAATCCCAAACTTCTTCTCTCTCATAACAGTTTGGGGTCTCTCACTAGATTTCACATGCATTGTTTTGGCCTCAATCCCAACTTTAAAGATCAGACAGAAACAAATCAAATAGTGACAACATTTTACTTCTATAAGTCATTCTGTAAATTGAATCGAATGTTTATGCTGTCAAATTAATGAATGTGTTCAGTCAAAAATACAGTTTTGGTAAGCCAAATGTGTTTTTTGGAGTGTGAAAATCCACTGTATTGTGTTGAAATCTAGTTAATGGTGAACCAGTATGTCCACAACCAGGTGCCTTGTGAAACTGCCATGTGCCAATGAGTAGTTAATGTATAACTATAGCTTTTTTGAGGTATTCTGTGTGTGTGAAGTGGTGCATGATCTCCTTTGTAATATAATCCTGTGTGTCCAAGCATCAGCAGGAGATGGTCCGGTGCTGTGCAGGACATACTGCTCCAGCTGCAGCCACCATCCTCTTGCTGCACAAGTAAAAACTAATCACTTGTCTGATTGTGCTTTTATCCAGGTGAATTGTAGCTAGAACTATCATTAACACTTGAGACACCAACAAAAGAAAACCTTTTTGATCAATAATACATGTTGCATGTTGAGGTGCAATGGTAATTACCTCAACATGTAGTAAAAGTATATCAGAGTGAAAGTAGAAACGATCTGTTTTTCAGTTTTCTTTGCTCTTTTTTTATCAAAGAATAATTTAGTGGTTAGCAAACAAGATCCTTTGTTGGATTCCAGCTGCAGACAGGACATTTCTGTGTGGAGTTTGCATGTTCTCCTTGTGTCAGTTTCCTCTGGGTGCTCCCCTACTATTAAAAACATGTTCATCAGAATCAGAATCAGAATCATAACACAAGTTGACAGCCAAAAAATGGTCAGGGGTTTCTCAACTGATTTAGACTAATGTTGGTGTTCTGAGTCCGAATATCACATGCACTTTGCTCTATCAGGTCAACTTTTTGAGATACAGCCATAGTGTTACGGATAACGTACGTCTACGTTATTATGAATTCTGCTTATCAAATTTGATGGAGTAAATAAAAACTGAATGACTTTGGATACGTTGACTTTTATTTCTTGAGAAAAACGGAAAAAACGTCAAGGGTTTCTCAGCTGATGGAATTAGTTTTTTACGCAAAATCGATTTAAAAAAATATTTCTGTAGCAAAAAATCCTGACCTGATTGAGCAACACTGATATTGGAATGTAACTTAAGTTATCATTTTGGTAAATCATATGTGACTATGTGCTGAATGCTCTGTATTGTAATTCACTTTAGCTTCAAGAAGACACCGGGAGGTCTGGGGAGCTCATATGCTAAGTGTCTTTTGTTGTGTTGTTTCTTCCTTTCACATCTGCATACGAAGGTGTGTCTTGTTCTACCAAAAGGGGTTTGCAGACTGTGAATCTTCAGACTTGTCCTGAGAGAGGCTAGGGTCTGTGCCTTGCCTCTGTCAAGACATTCTCCTTGTACAATGTAACAAGTAAAAGATTAACTTTGTCTCTTTGTTGTGTGAGATTTCATCATGTTCAACTGTAGCTGAAACAGCATTATCAAAAACCAAGGTCATTTTCAGACTCAGAGCATCAAACTTAGTCTAATTCAGCTGGAAAACCCTGGACTATTTTCAAAAAACATTTTTTTGTTACCCAGTGTAATCAGTGTTATTGCCACGTAAGTACCAAACAAAAGTTACCACTTGGAAATTGTTTTGGCTGAGAGCGAGCCACTTCGCCATTTGCGGCGCTGTGTGCAGCAAGAAACAGCAGAGAGCAATAACATACAGTTTCACAGACAATTGGATAGACACATTGTGCTTTGTATAAACCACAGATTTTTTTCTCGGGATGAGCACCTCCGACTGCCGGCCCAATGTGGCTGTCAGAGGGGGGCAGGGTCAGGGAGGGGGTGAGCCGGAAAGACAATGAGGAGTGGAGGGGAGGGAAGGAGAAGATGGATAGGTAGAGGGAGGCGGGGGGAGCGGGATCCGAGCTGGAGACTGCAGAGTGTTGTAGATTGGAGGAGTCCATGTTATCTTCGGCCTTGGCAGAGGAATGTGAGATAAGAGTGGAGAGAAGACACAGCAGGAGAAAACACATCGCCTTGAGAGGGACAATATTATATGCAATGTAGCAGTCAAAAGCAAGGCAGATATTCTATTGAATCCAATTAAAAAGAATTGAGACACCCTCCGACCTCTGTACACAGGGGCAAATCCAAGCCGGGTCAGAGTTCATGACTGGCAAACAATGTCATTCAGTCTCATCTGAGAGTGGATGGGTGGTGATGATGGGAGGGTCACCGCCCATTATCGCTTCTGTCATCACTTTGTGAGGAGTGAATGGAAAGCAGCACTTTGGGTGATCTTAGGCAGTGAAAGACTCTAAATAAATAAGACTTTCAAGACTTAAGCCACCTTTTCTCCTTGTGCTATGTTGGATAGTACACAGCTATAAAAAAAGACCTAATTACTATAAATTCAGTGCAAGACATTTTGTTGTTTCTTTTAGTGATACTACAGCATGAAATTTGTAACTGCCAATCACAGAAGAGCACACATTCAGCAGAACGTCTTCACAAACCTTATTAAACCGAGCGAGGGGACAGACCACTACAAAACTCCATAAGACGACAATTCCTTTTTAATGCTCCACTGTGCTGCTGCTTCTTCTGCTGCTGCTGCTGCTGCTGCTACACCTCTGCTTTTCCCATTTGGATTGTGCTTGTCGCTGTGTTTTTTATGTCTCCTTCTGCACAGCATTCATAAGCGCTGGCTCTCCACACTGTCAGCTCTAATAAGAGTTAAATGTTGTGTGTGCTAGAGAAGTCTGAGGAGGCCTGCCTTTTGCTCAGACGTGCTGAGGGGAGGCGTTTGGACGAACGGCTCTCCAAGCAGTTTAGTGCTCTGAGAAAATGTGAGCCAACGTCTAAGCAAAAGTTCTAGTCAGGATATAGGTGTATTTGTGAACTGGATTTCTTAAAAATTGGGTTAATAATTAAAATATAAAGACACAGGCTTACATAGCGCTGTTTTGGACACCCGAATTATTCTTTCACTTGTAGATTTTAATTACAGCACACGTCGAAACACAATCATGGTTCATTCATGTGTCAACATTCAACAAATTGTGAAATTCTACATTTAATATGATGTGTTTTAGATGAATCCTTATTGTGTTCTACATTCTTCATTATGTGTTTGAGATTATTAATGTGCTTCATTGTTCTAAGCATTTGAAGTCAGAGGTCAGCAGACAAGTATTAACGAACAGGCAGCTTCCCGTTTGTCTCTCTGCAATAGAAACTAGCAGATGTCAAAACTGATGACAATAAAGAGTTAGGAACATAGCATTCGAGGTGTTTTTCAGAAAAATGGAGACACGGAGAATTAAGAAGGAAGCGGACCTGACGAGACACGCCCCTTTTGCACATTTTACTTATACGATTCTGTGATGATGTGATAGTCAGTCTGAGCAGGGATAGAAAGGTCTTCAGAGGGCCTGATGACCTCATAGTTTTAGGGACAGTTACTTTTTGGCTCAGCTCATAGGGTTAGATAGGAAAATATATCTTGGCCTTCTTTTCTGTATCAAATTCTGAGTCACTTCTATTTTGACACTCCATACAAGGTGGTGATAAATTACTACTGTAGCTACAGCTGCCTTGACAGAAGCAAGCCCTCTAACCACTGCCAACCATTCACACACACATCAGACTCATTCTCGGAAATGTGGGTGCAGTGTCTTGCCTAAGGACACACATACAGTTTGGCACTATACAGCCTCAGCCACCCCACTCTGAGGTCTCTTCACAGAACCAACGAGGCCCGGCCAGGATTTGGCTTTCACAAAGAGGTGGCGCCATGATATTTAAAAGGAGAAAGGCCAGTGGATGGACAACACTTACTTTGACAGAAATATATTTTGACCTGTTGACCTTACATACTTTGCTTGTCCTCGTGTTTGAGGTGACACAGAAAACAACCACATTTAAGGATTTTTTTTCTTTACTAATTTCAAATAAACTTGCTTTCAGATTGGACACAGAATAAAGTTAACACTCAACACAAACAAATCTCTCAAACATAAAATATAACTATAATATGTTCTAAAATGTTCTGACTTCTCTACTATTTGACAATGTATTGAAAAACAAAAGAACAAGGGCAAAACTAACACAAATAAAAACAAAACTAACAAATAAACACAAAAATATAACTTCTCTCCTCAGATCAACCAACAAAACTCAAAGCTGTCACTGATCAAATGACTCCACACTTGACCTTGCTGTAGGGTCCGTAGCGCCCAAACTTGTCCTTCCCCACCACGCACACGCAGATCTTGTACCTGGGCTTGTACTTGTGGTACAGGGAGAACATGGGCAGGGGCGCGGCCGGGTATTCTCCCAGAACCCTCCACTGCTCAAACACGTTGGTGCCGATCGCGATTTCTGTGGTCAGATAGACGCTGCAGAAACAGAAACAAAAACACACACACTTTGCAGCAACTGAGAAAGATTCGACTCATGCCGTGTTTGTTGGTGCAGTAGTTTTGTTTTATTGTAGGGAAAAACCAGTGGGGGCGGGTCCCGGCTCAAAAGTGGCCAAAATGACGTGCGCTGACATGCTTGCAATACCACCCCGGGCATGTGGGGGTGGACCCGGAATAAGAATTATTCAATGCTAACATATAGCATTAGCTGACCTCTCGAAAACGTCTTTACAGGATGGTCCAAAAGTTGGCTCTTGGCCCAAAGCTCCGTTCCACATGTGTGTCAGTGCTGAGGGGGGGTGAATTTTTTTGGACCAGTAAAGTTTAGTTGCTGTGAATATTTGAAGACACTCGTTTAAATGAATGGGGCTCGGGCCGGCTGACGCATGTGCAGATGCGTTTTTTCACATTTTCCAGCCTCCACAGCCATTTTGAAACTTCCCATAGACCGGAAGTTGTGGCACATTATTTAGAACGGCGGAGATAGGCGTGACTACGTTAATATTTCCAGTCTATAGGAAAAACCCCTAGACTGCCAGTGTTCCCCATTTCAGGAAAAAAGGGCAGGGTGGCATATCTGATTTGAAGGGCACTGGCACGCAGAGACTTGGGGCATACAGTCTTCAGATAAAATAAGTTAGGGAATTCCAATAAAATGTAAGTTTTAATATTTTTGAAAACAGTAATATACATCAAACTTAAAATATTAAAGAAGACTGCCATTGACGTATCAATATGCCTTTCAATATTTTGACATAAATATAGCGCCGGCTAATGGATGAATACTGGCCATTCTTTCTGGCACAGTATTTATTCATACAGCCTTCAATTTACATATTGAAAGGCTCCACTTTCAATATGTAAATTGACGTCTTTGAAATGAATACTTTTTGAAATAAAAGATACAAGCAATAGGTTGTGGATGTTTAAAACGTGTCATTTTGCATCAAAAACACTTTCTCATAAGTTGTTTTTGCTGTTTTCTAGCATGTAAGATTCTTTACATGTACGAGGAGACACTCGTACAGGTGTTAGAATCCTGCAGTAAGACTGCTCTTACTGTATGTGAGGAGATGAAACCGTGTGAAGATTTACCAAGATTTGTGACAATAAACAACAATTACATTTGTCCACTAGATTTCAGGGTTACAAGCGAGTCTGAGCCATCTCAAAGTGACTTTTGAATGAGGCGTTTTCTTAAAATTGTGTTTAAAGGCCAACTATTACAACTAGATGAAAGACTCTGGAGAGAGATGTAGTGATTTCATAACACTTTGAAGCAACTATGGTTAAAGTTCCAACTTCATTCTTACATATGCAGAAGCCTGTACTTTTCCACTTGATGTTTTGGTTATCTCCTCAAGGTTGAAGCTACAAGCACACTGTGGCAGCTGCTGATTGGAGGACTGCATTCCTCCATGCTGTACATCCTTGTTCGTGTGCTCATGTTAGTGCTGTCTCTACCATTGACAATAAAACATGTCTTCTGTCTGAATTAAAAGACACGATCCCAGACTTTGGATGATTCCTAACAGAGAGAGAGGCCATTTCGACACATATTCTTAGTGAAAAATCTTTTTTTGAGAGCAGCATTTGGATTGGCTGCCATTCCTGTCATGGTAAAATAGACCATTGTGTGTTTGTCCATGAGGTCTGGCGAGGCTCAATCTCACTGTTGTGTTCAAGTGTTGGTTTGTCTTTTAAACATATGTTCATTGTCTGCCGGCAAGCTGGGCGGCATTGGTATCAATAAAGAGGGCGATAAGTGTCTTGTTTTGGAAGGCAACAAAATTGTGTAGTGCCCTGTGCCCTGCTATCACCTGTAATGGGGAACAGTGTATATAGATGGACAACGGTAACCTGATAATTAATAAAGTCGAAAAAAGGGAAGTGCTAATTAATAAAGTTGGACTCCTTTCACCTACATGAAAACTCTAACTCCTCTAGCTCTGAAACAAGTTGTCACACACAGAATTTATGGCTTAAAAATTGGTGGTTATGATTCTGGTGTTTTAATGATCTTGTCTTTGTTAATCCAGATATGAGCCCTAACAACTGACTAATCAGGTGCTTTCTGATTTTCCCAAATTTGGCGTTTTACTTGCTAGTGGCAACAAACCAGCGCTGCTCCTGATTGGCAACGGCCTGATGTAATTTGGCTCCAGTGCATGTTTGAGCTAGCTTCAAAATGGTCTTCTTCCGCAATATGGCATGGGTGACATCAGTTCACTCCTTCTACAGTCTATGGGAAAAGCATGCTTCATTTCGGTGTTTGGTGTCCTCTATTGGTTTAATAAGATACATTTTCACAATTTTTTTAGCGCATCTGTTTGTGGAAAGGTTTCTGTGCACACACGCATACGCTAAGGAATTAAAAAGATAGCCGTTCAATGTATGATTTTAGTTTGAAGTTCACAAATAATAGGATTTTCATACTATAAAAAAATATATAACAAAACATGATAGAAGCAGTACATTAAAATAGTGTATGAGCACATCTATACATTTCAGATGGAATGTTTCACTTGTTTTGTCACAAACTGCTGTAAAACTACTGTAAATATTAACCATAGACCATTACATACTGTATATCCAACCAAACTATGTAATAATCAGGTGAAAACACACACACACGTCCCAATAAAGCTGGTCCAAGTGTGACTTTGAGGCCCATGTTTTGTATTGTACCTGTACGTGTCCATGGGTGGGATATCAGGATCTTCCTCATCCAGACTCCACACCAGAGACAGCTGAGGGAAGGGGTGTTTGATGAGGGCCAAGTCCAGCTTCAGTTTGGGCGGGATGCTGTACTGCGCCGCCTTTACCGGGAATGAGGAGGGGAACGGGAGAACGGGCAGAGCCGGGTACGGAATCTCCTGCTGCAAAGACAGAACCAAAACAAATGAAAGCATTTTTGTGTTAACTAAAAACATTTGGATAAAACAGAACTTGAGATTGTGTAAAAAGAGCAAACAAGAAGACAGATTAACTCCTAAGCCTTAAATTCTAAATCTGTGGTTTAGCGCTTTACATGTTCCTGGTGTTATGTTGATATATTTTTTGTGAATCCACATAATAAACAAAAGATCAATCAGGTGCCTTCTCTCCACAAATTTGGCTTTGGCTAAAGAAAAGCCCAGGATGGCACTTTGGTTGCTGGGTAGCTGCCAACTGAGAATTTGGTTCCAGATTTTATACTCTCTGGTTGGTAGCCAATAATCCTGACTTGCATATTGAATTCGACATATTGGCTGTGCACAATTATTACAATGTGTAAGTCCTGGTCCTAATTATGGGCTTGAAATCTAAGTGCATCTTGTGTGCCCCAGGCTCACCAGCTCCGACTTGATCTTGGGATGTTCAGCAGCGCAGTCTTCCTCAATCTTAAGAGGTGGTTCTGAGTGGACAGGAGAAGGTGGGTCTCCTGGAGGCTCTGCTTTGGCCTTTTGGGGCTGCAACAGCTTTGCTAATCCTTTCATCACCTGCATTCAAAACAATAATACAAGAGGGGGCAACTTTGATGTCAACTGGTCTCAAATCTCATTGTCATTGTCTTTGTAATTAGTAAAAAAATAAATAAAAAAAAAAGGTTTAAAGGAAAGCCAAGCTAATCTACCACTCACAAGCCCAGTGTTGAAGCCTACCTTTGTCGGTTGATTGTTAGTTGAATAAGAGCTTATGGTCTCTTCTTGTAAACCAGCAAAGGCAGTTTTCAAATCTGAAAAGCAGCATTTTGATCGGTTTATTTAAAGTCATTAAAATACATTGTGTAATGACCTAAAAAGGATTTATTGCAATCACAATAAGTGTTTTTTGCTTGACGACTCAAAAAAAACAAGATTCCACTGTGGGGCAGCTGCGGCTCTAGTGAAAACTGTACACTTGTTGTGTCCTTCACATTTAGTGTCAGTCGTGCCTGGAACATGGAGTGTTTTAAGTTGAACTGAGTGCACCTACAGTATACCACAGTTTGGGTCATACAAATCAGGATTTACCTCACAAAAAGAGTCAAGTTTCTCTCATGAACACTTACCTTATGCAGGTGAAACTGCCAATAACTGATGGTTACTTACATGTTTGTTGTTCTTCAAGCCTCTCACACTCTTTCCTTGTGATCCTCTTTAAACAAATGATAAGAAGTAAGTTTAGTTTATTCAGATTCCATTAGGCCATTCAAATGTAGCCGCTATTCTTCCTGGGGTCACCGGACAAGCAGGGCGCGGCCTAAAACACCTACCATTATCTCTGCAACACTGGAGACTGCACATTGGTTTGACATGAAGAAAATAGAAGGTTAACTCATACATGTTACAAAATAAACGTAATAAAAAGTAATGCACTTACATTGAGATGCTGTTCTAGTACTAACCAAATCTGACCTGATCAAAGACATCACAGTCAGGAGCAAGATAAGTCCATCTGTTATTTAAGGTTTACCTTTTACTTACATGGCTGTGGTGGTGCTCTCAAAGGGTGTTGTTGAATTCTGAAAAACAAAATTAGATGAGGGAAACGTTTTGTTTTTATAAATAACAGAATAAAAAAACAAACCAGCACTAAATAATTTAAAACTTGTTCTGCCCTTTCAGTTACTTCCATCATGTTGGTCTGAAGAAAAAGAAGACAATAAAACAATACAACATCATGGGTTAATACAGTCATTTCAAGAAGCTTTAAGGACTTGTACCTGGAGTGCTTGGATGGAGACTTTAAAGCTCATGCCTTGAACCAGTTGCTGCTTCGATTGTTCTATTAAGACATCAAGATGGTCTTCAGTCTTTTTCATAGCAGACTGCACCTCCTGTTGGACCAGGCTCTCCAACTATGGACACATACGGAACATTCTTTGTGGAACATAAACCCTGTTTCCACCGGCCCTACTCGGCCCTACTCTGTCCTGATTGGGAGGGTTTTCACTGGCCCTGATTGGGAGGGTTTTCACTGGCCCTGATTAAAAGGTGCTATATAATTCTATGCTTTAAACAACATGAAGTGCTACTAGGCCTTCATACACAAAGTCGTTTTTTTCATTGATTCCCTCAAGCTTTAGTTAGAGAGCAATTTTTCTCTCATTCTCAAGAGGGAGCAAACGCCTTGGTTCAATTCGATGACTCTGGATCACTTCGATGATTTTAAAAGGTATTTTTAAAGGTGCATTGCGTAAGTGGCAGAGTTTTTGCATTAGTTTGCCCCCTTTTGGCGTTTTATGTAACTGCATCCAATGCCGTGCACGTGCCCTGTACACTTTACGCTCTCGGCGTGACGACGCATCTGGTTCTCAAATTCTCACTTCTCACAACATTTCTAGTTACATCATGTTTTCTCAGGTAAGAAAACTAATTATTTGGCATTAAATTAGTTTGACTAATTGTATTAGTCCTTTTTGACAGATGAAATTTGGCTAGCTAGTTAGACAATGAAAGTTTGATTATTTGTGTGTAAGACAATGATACATTACTGCCTTTTTCAATAACTATCTGTAATAAGTGATGAAAGTAATTAGGCACTATTGACAGTGAGCTAGATTTGTCCAAGCCCAGTAGCTAGCTAGTTAGATTGTCCCTGTGCCACACTTGATCTTAGCCAAAAAGCCGAGAAGATTCTGTGCCTTCTGCCCACTCTGTAGCAATGAGTCTTTTACAATACATCTGGGTACTTCTTACCTGTAACTGCCATTTATGTATACCCACACTTCAGTAGTATTCCTGTATAAGTAAAACAAAGTGTATATACAACTCAATGGATTTAGATATTATATCGATGAAGAGTTATTGGTAACTCAATAACTACATGCCTACAGTATGTGTAAATACACATACTGTAGGCATGTAGTTATTGAGTTACCAATAATTCTTCATCAATATTTCACCATCGATAATAATAATAATAATAATAGATAGTAATCTAAGAGCCTAATAACATTTTACTCCATTTAGGGCTCCAGCAATGACGAGTTTGTTCCTATGGAGACAACCAGTGACTCTGGAAGTCAACCGCGAGGACAAGGAAGGGGTAGAGGAAGAGGGAGGAAGACTGCACAGAAGACTAAACAGACAGGAAAGGGAAGAGGAAAGGGGAGGAAGACAAGTGCTAAAAAGAAGGAAGATACTCCAGCAGAGGGTGCAAGAAAAAGAAAATCAAAAGCCCCATTTACACAAGATGGATTTCGAATAACTTTATTTCAAAAAGTAAAAATTCTTGTAAATATTTTTCTGTGTTATATAAAAAATAAAAAAAAGTATGGTGATGTTGTATTTCTTCAACGTTAGGGAACAGATGTCGTCTCCTGGGACATAGAAAAGACACATTTTACAAAATTGTAACATTCCAAAGTAAAACTTGAAGATACACAAAAATCCAATCAATATTATTCAGTATGGAAAATAGGGCAGAGAGAAGAAGCTAAATCTTAGAATCATACAACACTGGAATGTCTCTTCAAGGGGTCAGTTGAGCCCTATACATTAGTTATTCTTTATAACAAGCTGGTTAGTTACACAAACATACCTGTCCTCTCTGGACCTGTGTACGCATCAATTCTGAAGTAGGAGGTGGGTTAACACCAGACACTGGTCCAAGTGCTCGTGGGTCCTCCGGTATGATACTCCGTCTGGTTGGGAGGCCACCAGCAGACTGAAGTCGTCTGCCAATGATTTGTGTCTGAAGGTCAGGAATGTAGTTGTAATCCTTTGCTTCTTTGACAGTGTGTACCCGATACCGTTTAAATTTTTTGCTGTACAGTCTCCAAGGCTACAAGATAAGTAATTTCACGTTAGAAGACAACTATATTCATGACTTGTCAATAGGATGTAGTGAATGATACTTACGACACTTGGCCTTTGCTGTTCACATGTGCCGGACAGGTGTTGTGGTGATTGTAGTCCAAAGCTGCAAGAAATGTTCTTGCTTCATAAACAAAACATGAAAATCATTCCAAAACCAGAATATGGTTTTGGAATGATTCCAGCTGTGAGGTGGTCCTGCAGGGAAATTAAGTAGGAAAAAGAAGAAACACAAATCATTCCAAAAAATAAAAGGTTATCTCTTACCGAAATGTGAGGAACTTCTCCACATCCTTCAGCCATCTGCGGCTCAGCACGATCTGTGACAGTGCCACATGTGCTTTAGAGCCAGGCGATACAGGCTCTTTAGTGCCATCATCTCCCAAAGGGCCATGAAGGCATCTACCCAGGTCCCACTCATGCACGCCACTAACATGGTGCAGTACACCTCGCCAAATGTCCAAATCAGCAAACATAAGAAAATGAAAAGGTATAGTGAGAATATAAATTCTAGTTCTACTTTACTTACCATGAACTCGTCTCGGCTGCTTGCATGCTGACAGGCATACCAAAAATGGTTAACAATGTCCTTGATCCACACTAGGATTTGTTTTTGACCTGCTAGGACACCCGCATATCAAAGTTATTGGTTTTGGTTAACTCTATAAAAAATAATTGAATGAGAAACGATATGAACTATCACTTACAGCATGAAGCCTCTTAGTTAAGATTTTTTGCAGCATGCCAGACATCCAGGGAATGGGTAACTCCATGATCCATATATCTTCCCCGTTCTGGATCTATTATAAAGCTCAAAAATGCAGTAAGCACAAAATATAGCACATCAAATAATACAGACAAAAATACTTACGCATGAGGGCTGCAATTTGCACATGGGTGTCCGTCACAATCTCTTTGACTTTTAATTCTTTCGTGAGATCATCAAATGTTTTGATGAATGCTGCTTTCTCCATAGAGACACTTTTCCCACCAACTAGCCTTTTTATCAACATTGACAACACTGATGATGTCCGTAGTGTCAAGTTCCATCGTTGTGTATGTGCAAAACGTTGCAGAATGACCTTGTTGAATCAAATATGGTGAAACACAAAGTAATACACAATAACTATGTTGTAAAGTGAAAGGCTTCAGACTTACCTGGTGAGTCCATTCTCCCGTCAGCTGTAACAGATATAGTACTTATAGTGACTGCAAATATGACAAAGAGAGTCCTTTAACACATTACTTACCTCTATAAAAGGCTGCACCCCTGCCACAGATAAGTCATCCCTGTTAAAAAATGCAAGTTTGTTTCAGTGATATTGTCAATAAGGCTTGAATCAAACATAATGCCAATCCGATTTCTCTGGTAAAAAAGTACTGGTCAGATTCTACGATACCGATTGAACTCGGGAGATCACCAGTCGCAGTAGTGCATTTCATTGTATTACAGTTTGACTAACCACATTCTATTACTAATATAGTCTGCAATTCTACAATACATATAGTACAGGTACTGAGGTACATAATCACTGCATCTGCAAGTGTCATAATGGTTTACATGCACAGTAGCAACCCAATAATGTACACAGCTGTACTACGCTAACAGATGCTAACGTTCTTTCAAAAGCTCTAATCAACGTAACAGTCATTATTTCTAAACATTCTTTATACAGAACAAACAAAATGCTGAATGTGTCTCGCCAATCTGTTACTGTTCAGAAAAAAACCGAACCAAATGGAATCAGTCCATGTTGCTAAGTCAAAAAGCTAACACATAATAATGCTATTTCACTTTGTATTCGTGCAAGACACTAGGACGTTTAGAACTGAGTCACCGTCTTACCTTCTAATCAAGATAAACGCCAAATGAGGATCAATTTTTATCCCCAGAGCGTTTCGGAGGCTTCTCCATTTCTCAAACGCATGGCCGAGAGCGACTCGGGTCTGAGCTCTCCGCCGGTCGGCCTCTCGCTTCGTTCTTTTCGTAGCACTAGTGACAATCTTCCAGACGGTGATTCTGAAGCTGGTCTTTCTGGTCAAGAAACTGCTGGATCCATCTTTAAATACTCGTGATACGAGGACGGGACAGATCCACTGAACGCGAGGGAACATATGGAGCCAAAACAGTGAACGGGCACGCGCATTGCGTCACTTCCGCTTAAACAGCGCGCGAGAAAGCGACCCGAGTCAGGGATTACTCAATCACTGTATGCGCTCCCAGAAGCAACCACAGTGAATCTGCTAATGCTCAGTTTACACACCAGGCAACTGCTGATGGACCACAGATGCAAAATATTGCGTTTTGGCATTTTTCAACTTCTACGTCATGGTGCTACGTCCCTTAGGACTTCGCTAGTGGGATATCACTCGTGACCCCCAGGTCACGCGCCAGAGAGATCAAAATAATTTGCTCCAATCACCAGCCACCTTCCTCTATAAATGCCCCTGCACAAGGCCGTACCCCCTCTTTCACTCTGGCGCCGATTGAGATCTACATTTCAATTTACCTGAGGAAAGATGTCTTCTGATGCTCGTCCGAGTTCCCCTTCGCCATCCGGCGTCGGACGTCGTCGTTGCTCGACTTGTCGGGTCAAGCTCCAGCGCAAGGACCAGCACTCCAGCTGCTTCGTGTGCCTGGGTTCGGGCCATGCGGCGTTGAGCGCCACCTGCGCCTCGTGTCTCGCTCTCCCCAGGGAGGAGAGTGAACGCAGGCGCGCGTTCTTCGCCGCTACAGCGCCCCGTCCGGACTCCTCTCAGGACGAGGAGTCTGTGATTGACTGGGCCCCCCTCGACCTTCCACCCGTGCCCGCGGAGTGGGGTGACTGCGAGGACGGAGAGGTGTCGGAGGTCGGCTCTCTCCTCACGCTGGACGAGGTGGTGTCCAACCCGGAGCCGGACCGCTTCCCGCTGGACCACATGCCTGGGCTCTACTCCACGGCGGCGGCCATCATGGATGCCCCCCTGCCACCGCAACCGAACCAGAGGGTGGAGGACTTCACCT